GCTGTATTCCTCCAGCTCCACACTGTGTTATCTCAGACTCCAGCATCAGCAGTTCTTACTATATCTAACAGTGGAATTTTGTTGAGGCATCAGGGATCTCACCTGCCAGTGAAACATACGTTCTGCTTCTTTCACGAAGGTCCACCAGACCATGTCAGGCAGTGGCAAGGCTACTGGCAGGCACTCTTTGAAATCAAGATCCCGATGTGGAAATATCAACTATTGAGAGCTGCCGGCCAATCCAACATTGTCAGCTATCACGCTCAGCAGCATCACAGGAGGGGTAGTAGCTACTGCAGAAAAATACCTATTCGAGTCACAAGATCATGAGAAGGCCAAAGAAGAAACTGTCAATGGATCATCACCCATCCCTCCAACCCGTCCACTCTTGTCAATGTCCAGTCTCTGAATTAGGCACCGTGACAGCGCTCTCACCCCACCCTCTGCAAGATTTAATAATCTTCTCGGATAGAGAGAGAACCGTCTAGACAAGTGAAGGAAAAGAACCCTGCCTAAGAACTTAAGTAGGCAGAGACTTGGGATGGCCTTGGCCTCTCTTACTGAGGACCCAAACCATGGCCTCACTATAGTGCTCCATTTTTGCTTAGCAGGTTTGGAACAAGAGAAATCTGCTACTGCATACCTAAAATAGCATCTTCCTCAGCTCCCAGATGTCCCCTGACAACTAAAGGATTACTGGCCTGCATTGTTCAAGTTTTTAACCCAGAGAAAAGCAAATGTAAGCAGAACTCTAGAAATACTAAGATCTAAATACACGCTACTTGCAGAGGTAACCATCTCATTCCTGACCCTGACAGATTAGAAGCTTTTCCCCAGAAGAGCAAACTATTTTCCTGCATTTGCTCTATCAAGCATTTCAGATGGCCTGAATTTTCACTCCCAAGTCAGAAAAATCCCTGACTCCATAAACCCAACTTTGGAGAAGGTGTTCTAATTTTGGTTCTTGGTTAGGGGGGAGGGTCGGATATTAAATGGACTCAGGCCTGCCACCCACAAAAAACATTCAGTGGCGGCTATGAGAAAGGGCAGTTTTGATGATCTGACACTTAGCACCAACAATAAAAAAAATGCTAAAAAAACAAAATCTCCTGCAGCTTACTCTTTCACATTCCCTCATCCCCACATACATTCATATGTCTTATCCACCTAAACTTGCAACTTCTAAGTTAAAAATGAACCCCCTATTCTTCCTACCAAAATGTAATTCATCTACCAATTATTTGACCATTGTAAAAGTTTATGAATTGTTTGTTCTAGTTAGTTGCAGTCCTCCTCAGTATTGAGAATTCTTCAGCCAGCCACCATCCCAATCTCAATTTTGTAGCATCTGCAAATTGAAAAATTATGCTATAGAATCTAAAGACCAAATCGCTAATCTGAATTTTGAATAGCACTGATCCACGTGAAACACCACTTTTCACTTTCTGTCACTCTGAATGGCTATCATTTACACCTGCTCTGTTTTCTGCCTTGAATCCAGCTAGAAATCTGTTGTGCCAGTTGCATCAGAGAGCAGAGTGGTATGAGGCTGTGATGAAGGGGGCACAGTGGGAGGGAGCACCTGTAGGGTACAGACTTTGCAGTGCCCAATGTGGAAAGAAATGCTCTTGTGGGAGGTGCTCCTCCTCTTTATCTCAGAAGTCAAAGCATGTTGACCTACTAGATTCCCCCACTGCCTCCAAATTCCTCCTACCAACCTCAAGTTTGAGGCTCAGCAGGAAGCAGCCCTCAAGTGGACAATAATTGGCATTTCAAATAGTGTAATGCCATACACACTGTCTGGGCCTTGCCCGGCCAATGTAAAATTGTGGACAGGTCTTGGAGAGGTGAGAAGGTGCCTCAGGAGTTTTACAGTCCCCCACCTGCAAACCATAGGCAGGGAATAATAAAATTCTTCTCTGTATCTTTCAGGTGATTGTCTCAAGAATTCTAATTCTATCTCTCAAAATATTATTCAAGTATGTAATCAACATAACGCTTACCAATTCAGGAGTGGTTACATTCGTTCAGGGAGATGTTAGTGTAGTGATAATGTCATTGGACTGGTAATCCAGAGCCCCAGGCTAATATTGTGGTGACATGAGTTTGTGTCCCACCAATGTCAACTGGTGGAAATTGAATTAAATACAATTTTGGATTCTTTTTCTTAGAAAAGCTAGCCCAGTAAGTGTTTGGCACCTGTTCTAGTCATGGAATTGGTGAGATACACCAGCCAGAATATCAGTGGTATTTTAGATTTATACCATGCTTTTTAACAGGTCAAAGACCAGTACAACATTTGGTTCAGTCTTTGATCACTTGCTAGTCTGTCAGTCATCTATCTCAGGCTAACTTCTGTTCAGAAGCCCACTTACAGCTCTTTTACTGCAAGCATGCCTGCTTCAAATTGTCTGGCATTAGAGGGGAGCATGGACAGAAGAAGCACCCTCAGCATTCATCAGAATTTTCCCAAATGCAGAAATTTGGGAATTTATATTTCTTATCATTAATTTAGCAATTAGAATTTAGACGTTTTACTCAATTTTCCATGTTGACACTAACAGTATTGTGTTACAGTAGGTGATTGGCAAAGCAAAGGATTTTGGAGTGAAGACGGTGTTGGAGGACAAATTTATTTGGATCAAGATGGCAAAAAGGTGAGGCATAAAACCAGATGAACATGGAAAATCTTGTGACAGTAATTGAAGATGAGCAGGGATAATTTCCGCCAGAGTCCTTCCTTTATTACTTAATTAACATAGTTTATTGAAGAATATGCGCATTTTCTCATAATGAAATTTAGCTGTCACATTACAACAGTGCTAGCACTTCAATATAATTTTTAAACGATGGTAAAACATTTTTGCAATAATCTGTGGTCATGAAAGTAGCTATATAAATGCATTACATAATATATTTATATCTTTTATTACATATATTCTGATACAAGGGCCTTGAAATTAGATCATGTTTTAGTAACAACATTTTATATCTTGATCTGAAATTGCTCACTCTGGCATTTTAGTGAAAGGCCTAGCTCATTTACATAAGGGTTAATGTCATTGCTAGTACAGTGGAAAGAGCAATTTCAAACCAGCAATTCATGTGCAAGCATGCCATGGCATGATTTCAGAGTCTGGTTTATTTGGAGATAGTCAGATTTTTGTGGCGATTTCATTGGTGCTTACAATCATCAGTAATTTCTGCAGTTTGAAGGTATTTGCTTCTGAAAGGAATATTAAAGTGTAAGATTTTACTCCTTATCTAAAAACACATAACCACCACTGTTAAGGATAACATTTTCGTCTATTTTCTTGCAATTAGCATCTCTTTGGAAAGTTTTCCATGACTAACAGCAGCAATTTGCATGTCTGGTTTCTTGGACATGTATAGATATGATGTTATGTCTCAGCAAGCTAATCAGAAATAACAGTCATACCATCCTCAAAAGAACTGTGACATGATTACATTTTCCGTGCTTATAAGTGGATGATGTAGATACAAGTGGTCATCACCTCAGCTCATTCACTTAGGTGTAGTCATGCCTCACCACACCAAAGGTTCCTTACAAATTGGCTTTGTTTCAAAATTTTCTTTTTTTGGAAATTTTTCTGAACTTCTGAAGTTCATTAAGGCATCCAACTCTACCTATTAATGACCACAAAAAAAAATCTAAAACAAAAGCAAAGAGTGCTGAAGAGACATAGCAGATCTGGCAGAGAAAACAGAGTTAATGTTTGGAGTCCAGTGTTGGATGAAGAGCACGGTCTGTTTTTATTTCATATTTCCAGCATCCAGAGTTCTTTATGTTTACTTAAATAAAAAGACTTAACCATTTTGGCCAGGAGAAGCATGCTATAGCAATTTAATAGTCCAGATTTTGCAGAAGCAATTGAAGAATGCTCTGAAGTTGACAGCAACTTTTTGGGTCCAGACGTCTGCAGTTAAATGCAGAAACCCCAAAGGCACTGTTAATGATTCTGCAGTTTCTCTATAATGTCCATCATTGAAGTATTCACAGACCACAATCAATTAGAAATACTGAACTGAAGAGACCTTGCCTTTTTCTCCATAACATTGCTGTTAAAAAATTCAAAATATCCTATGTTTATTAATGGGGTATAATTGGAAAAACAACGACTAAATGTACTAAAGTCAAAGAAAGAATGAGAAGCTGCTAGAAGGACAAGAAATACAGGGATACCATGAATGCATACTGCTGTCCAACCAGTAGTCATATTTGAGAATGATGGTTTCTCTGGGGTGTACAGCCAGAACCAGGTCCATGGCACCATGGGTGGCTCCACGCACTGTAGGGAAGAAAGTGGAATGGAAGGCCAATGCTGGTAGAGAATTCATAAGATAGGGGAGCAGTCTCTGGTTGGGTAGTCTAGAATCAGGGGCCACACTTTCAGGAAATGGGGTAAGCTATTTAGGACTGAGCAGAGGAAATATTTCTTCACCCAAAAGGTAGTGGATCTGTGAAATTTTTTAACTCAGAAGGCTGTGGAGGCCAAGGCCCTGATTGAAAGAGAGTGATACAAGAAAAAGAGTGATACATTTTTATACGGTAAAGGCATCAAGGACTATTGGGACAATGTAGGAATATGACCTTAAGATAGACGAATGGTGTATAAGGCTTGAATGTCCAAATGGTCTACTCCTGCTCCTGTTACTTGTGCTTCCTGGCCCCAGATGTGATTCCAAGATAGTTGCCTTCCTGGTGCCAGGGTCAAAGATGTCACTGTGTGGCTGCAAAGCATTTCTAAGAGACAGAATAGACAGAGAGTGAATAGACGGAGGGTTTGATTTGCAGTCGCACCACTGTCACATGCAGAAAGAAGAATGAGACCCTCAAGGAAGAGATTAGGGAGCTAGGAGAGAGTTTGTAAAATAGGACATCAATAATGATAATCTCCAGATTTTTCATGGTACCACGTGCTAATGAATAAAGAAGTAGGAAGACAGAGCTGATAAATATGTGGCTGGAGAGATTGTGCAAGAGGAGAAAGCTTTTGACTCTTGAGGCATTGAAAGGAATGGGACCCATACAGAACTGGAGCCGACATTCTCATTGAAGGGTTTTGCTCGTGTTGGAAGAAGTGCTGGAAAAATCTATGACTTAATGACGTGTGAGCTGCTCAGTGCTGCAGCTCCTTTTAAGTTTTATGTTTTAAGTGTGAACCCTGGCATATGTGTGTGAAGGAGTACCACTGTGGTGTCCATGGTGCTGCATTGGTCAGTGCAATGAAGTAACAGACATGGATTGAACATGAGGCATCTGATGGTGATGCCTTTTTTTTATTCAATCATGGGATTTGGGCATCGCTGGTTGGCCAGCATTTATTGCCCATCCCTAGTTGACCTTGAGAAGGTGGTGATGATCTGCATTCTTGTACTGCTGTAGTCCATGTGCTATAGGCACCAAAATGCCATTAGGGAGGGAGTTCCAGGATTTTGACCCAGTGACAGTGAAAGAATGATGATATATTTCCAAGTTAGGAGGGTGAGTGTTTTAGAGGGGAACTTGCAAGTAGTGTTGTTCCCAGGTTTCTGCTGCCCTTCTAGATGTAAATGATCATGGGTTTGGAAGGTGCTGTCTAAGAATCTTTGGTGAATTTCAGCAGTGCATCTTGTAGATGGTACAAGCTGCTGGTAGTGGAGGGAGTGGCTGTTTATGGTTGTGATGTCAATCAAGTGGGCTGCTTTGTCTTGGATGGTGTCAAGCTTCTTGAGTGTTTTTGGAGCTGTACTCATCCAGGCAAGTGGGGAGTATTCCATCACGTTCCTGAATTGTGCCTTGCGGATTGCTTTGGGGAGTCATGAGTTGAGTTACTCGCTGCAGTATTCCTAGCCTCTGACCTGTTCTTGTAGACACTGTATTTACATGGGGAGTCTAGTTTTGTTCAGTGGTAACCCCAGGATGTTGATAATGGGGGATTCAGTGATGGTAACACCATTGAATGCCACGGGGTGGTGGTTAGATTGTCTCTTACTGGAGATGGTCATTGTCTGGCATTTATGTGGAGTGAACTTTACTTGCCACTTTTCAGGCCAGGCTTGGATATTGTCTAGGTCTTGTTGCATTTGAGCATGGACTGCTTCAGTATCTGAGGAGTTGTGAATGGTGCTGGACATTTGCAATCATCAGCAAACATCCCCCCTTCTGAGTCCTGTGATGGAGGGAAGTCATTGATGACGCAACTGAAGATGATTGGGCCTAGGGCACTACCCCGAGGAACATCTGCAGAGATGTCCTGGAGTTGAAATGACTGACCTCCCTATGGCTGCAGAGAGCTTTTTGCCAGTCCCATTGATTCTAAATTTGTTGGGCTCCTTGATGCACAACAGGATCAAATGCAGACTTGATGTCAAGGGCTGTCACTCTCACCTCACCTCTGGAATTCAGCTCCTTTAACAATGTTTGAACCAAGGCTGTAATGAGATTAGGAGTTGAGTTGCTCTAGCAAAGCACAAACTGGGTGTCAATAAACAGGTTACTGTTGAGCAGCCTAGCACCAAATATTGGTGTGTGACATTCCTCGCTAGTGACAACCTGACATTGCTAACTGACATACATAGGAGCATGAAGCTTTGGTAGATGGTTGTCCACACCCTGGCCAAGTGGAGCAGATAATTTATTCTCTTGTGGTACTAGAGCTATGTTTTCTTGAGTCACCGATGGCCTTGACTATTGCAGTCAGCTCTGTCCAGGCTGCCTTCATCAGTCAAGATGGCATCTTGTTGCCATCCGCAGGGAAAAGAACTTGCCCTCCCTCCTGGACAGCTTTCAGAAGAACCTCTAGGGAGGTATTGCTAACATGTGACACCACTTTATGCCTGGTTTCTGACATCTTCAGGGACAAGTGGCGTTCATGATCAGAGGTTAAGTGACTGGGTACCTTCTATATATATGGCACCCGAAACATCTGCCACCCACCTATTCACGAATATTCAATGAGCTGTGAAGAACATAATTGTGCAGGATAACCCAGAACTTCTGATTTTCTGGCTGCTTCCCCCTTAGTCCAATAATAACAAAATTCCACCTATTAGTCTTGAAAATAAAACAGAGAATGCTGGTGAATCTCAGCAGGTCTATCAACATCTGTGGAGAAAGAAGACAGAGTCAATGTTTTGAGTCCAGTGTGACTTCTTCAGTCTGAAGTTCAGTATAAGTAATAGGATTAAATGTCATGAGTGAGCTTCAAGATTTTTTTTCCCAAAGATATAGTTTTTTCGCAAAATTTGTAAAAGAACATGAGGTTCAAAGTTGGTACTACATGAAGTTTGATATAGGCACTGTCATGCCTCACCACAGTTACCATAATAGGCTAACCTTCTCTGTATCGTTCCAACAATATTTATTTCATGCAAAGAATATGGCCAAAGGGATTTTGCGCAGTTCTCAGCCCATCTATATACTATAACAGGAATGTCTTAACAACCTTCTCCCATTGATTTGCTGTGGCAGCTGCCACCAAACTTTAGAGCACCCCTCAGCACATACACCTGGACCGTAGAATGTGCCAGTCTGCATACTCATTCGTCAGTAGTTCTTTACACTGAAAGACCGGTGGATTTTTTGGCAAAATGAAAACCATCTTTCACCAAGTTGATCAACCTCTAGCGCCAATTGATGTTTATCTTGGTGTGT